GCTTTAGAATATCGATACAGTATCGGGAAATGAAATATCGCAATATTTCAGTGTATCGATATTTTCTTACACCTCTACTTTTAACAGAACTTTTATTTTCTTCTGGGACGTGTCGCTCTGTGAAACTTTGTTTTATGTTGRTTTATCTTTTCTGCGACTGCCTCCTGTTCCGAACTTCTGGACTGTCAGCACTTTGAATGTGTTGCACACAAATTCCTGAACCATATTTTATTTTGCAGGATCTCTGATAAAACAAATACATTCATTATTACAAACCCATGTGTCAGTGAACAAAGACAAAACYTGACTTGTGCTGAGAAAAAGGGTCAGAATGAGCTCAGGCTGCAGTTTAGGACAAAGTGGAAAAATAAAAACGATTTTTGCACAAAAAAATTTGCATAAAATGTGTCTAAAAATATCATCTAGTGATGCCAGTTACTAAAACAATAAATAATCTTTATAATGAAGGAGATGATGGACATTTCCTACCTTAAAGTCTTCCAACAGAAATGCCTTCAGAAATAATCATTTATATCTATAATTCTTTTCATTTTCTTTGAACGTTTCTTCTCTGCTGTAACTCTGGAAATCCTTTCGTATAAAGTTTAGAGATTCATCGTTTTAAACTGAGTTCTCAATGAGATCCCTCCAGACCAATAAAACCTCACTTTTCAAATTGTCTCTTGAAGAATTTAAAAATACAGAAACTCAATATAAACTCATTTTGCAGTTTCAGTATTTTCCTTCAGGCTTTAGTCTTTCTGGAACACGTACCTCTTGAGCGAGGCCAGTCTGAGGTTGATGTTCTCCTGTTTGCTGTGGACACTGTGGACGCTCGCTAAGATCTTGGACAGGTCTTCATGTCTGATCTTGTTGTCTTCAGGGTGAGTGTTAGAAACCTGGAACAAACGTTACAAACATGAAGGATTATAAAGAGAAAAGGACTTTAAAAGCTCTGACATGATGTTTGCAAAGGTCCAACATCCTACAGGTGATCAGTCACCTGTCTGTGAGCTCCAGGATACTTAAGATGTCCTTTAAAGGAGACCAATTATGGGTCCTAGAAATGTTTATGGTATGTCTGTGGGCTATCCAGACCATGTTCATTCAGTTTAATGCACAAAATAATTCTCAGATAATAAAATCTCCCATTTTCTAGTTCTGCCTGCTCTGACTTCTGTTCAGAAGAGCTGTTTATGTTAATGAGCTCTGTTGGTAACGCC